TTATGATCACTTTGACTTAGGATTGGTATTGCATATAGACACATATTCTAGCAAAAGTAGCAGAATTAGTTTGACAGATAATTAGCCAAACCATAATTTATCTATCTCGTCTTAAATTATAAGAACATATAATAGGTAAGATAGAGCTGGATAGTCTTCTTGACATAGTGCTATCGTAATACTTTTACAAGAATAGGTTGCAGTTCTGACGATGCTCAGCATATGATGGGTGAAAGCTCATCCTTTTACCTGAAGCGAAGAAGGGTGTCTGGTGGACTGCGTAAACCTGAACGTCGTATTAAAGCCAAACGGCTACAGTTCAACGGGATTCAGCCGTCATCTTCTGGTGAGATCAACCTACGAATCTCTCCCCGATCCACTTTCACAGGAAATTAAGGTCTCCCCAGCAATGGTATCTGAAGAGATTAATCGAAATCCAGTTACTCTTAGTATCTATTATGAATGTTACTTAGTCCTACAAATTTGTTTTCTAATGTAGCTACATTGCAATTTTCGTCGCTTCCGATACCTTTGGCCCACGATTTTAGCCAACCGTGTGTGGCAATTAAATGCCCATCAAAATAAATAGCCATTCGCTACCCGAGGGACTCATACTCTAACCTATGCATTCTGTCTATCATTTAACTGATTACGACCACCATCCTTCGCCATTTTTGTACCTTTATTGTGCACATATATCAATTTGCAGAGATATGTCGAGATTAGCTAAAAAGTTCAAAATGTTATTCTCAACAAGCCAGAAAGTATGCGGGGAAACGCAATTGAAACTCAATTGTTTTCTTTTTTTTATATTCAACAAAAATGATAGCTATATCAGATTAGACTCTGTAGACACCGACTTTATGCCCTAAGGAGAGAGGCCTGTGGATACTGAGATCTTATGATGTCAGCACATAATATTCGTGCAGAATAGAAATCCCGAAATCATTAGCTGAATGATAAGCCCTTGCAGCATCGTTGATCTCTATCATTCTTGAAGTGCTCTTGCCAGTTTATATCATAACCAAATTAATATTGATATAAGTGCTACTTTCCAATGAGTAATCAGTAAGTTATTGGGACTAAGTTATACTTATTTTCTTCGTCTGCATTGTAAAAGCTTAGGATACTATAAACGCATGGCTCAATAGAAGCTTTATCCGTTCTTTCTCGAATTACTCAGCCGTGTAGATCAGATACCGGATTCCTCAACCTGGACAGCAAAAAGTGTGCCTCTTAAGAGGGATGTGCTTAACTATGTAAAATATATATCTAATAAGCAATAAACTGATTAAACAGAAAGCAAAATATAATATAAGAGCATAAATAATTGACATGCAATTATATAGACACAATAATTCTATTACCGATCTATCAATGCATCCTCTAATAAAGGTGTAACTGCATAAATGTAGTCCTTTCCCATTTCCCCAATGTACTCAAACATGAATGCCAGTGATTTGAGAACACCATTTTGAACGTTAAGCTCAGGGACACGATACTCGTTCATCAGACCAGGAAGCACAGTAAATGGACTGCAAGTCTCAGCAACAATCGCGATAGCGACTGTTGTGCATACACGATTTTGGCGCTCTTGTACCTAAACAGAAGAATGTGAGCCACAAAAGAAAGGGTAAATTAAGTTAGTCTCCGAAGAAGCAAAATGAGTTTTTGTAATCAAATAAAAAAGAGCAATAATACAATAAATTAGCCTCAAATCGAATTTTTTTAAGTGAACAACTGTGGATAAACAAGTTCTGAAGTCGCATTCAACATTTTTTTAATTGACGGAACTACAACATAAATGGATGTAAAATAAAAGCAAATTAGATCGTAGACTTTGTGGGACTCACCTAGTCTCGTGTCCTGTCATATTATTCCTTGCAAAAATTAGAGGAGTAACATATAATAGTATGGTAAAAATTATTTAAGTTTTAAGATATTAAATCTAAACTCAGGCATGGTTTGAGTCAGATTCTCACTCCCGAGGATTTCATCAAACTACAGATGACAGATAAAATGGCGAAAAGAATATGGGGCTTAATCAAAAGGGGCACCAGAAGAAACTAAATAAATATGGAATCAATAGACGGCCCAAGGTTAAACCATCATGAAAAACTGAAGATGCCTCTGGACTGACGGGCCTCAAAATCCAGACCAGACCTCTGAAAAATCAGAGCTGGTAATGGAAATCATCCCAACAGTCGTAGTGCAGCAATAACCCACAAAATGTACCCAGATATATAGATAATTGAAAAAAAACGATCAAATAGTCCTACAAGTAGACAAAGGTGCCATGGTGATGATGGTCAGGAAAGAATATACGGATAAAATGGAAAATATTATCCGGAAACACTACGATGTATCGAATATTAACAAGACTCAGCAGTTAAAATCAAAGGGGCACTACGGGAAATGCAAAGGAAATAAATAGGAACAGATATATCGAAAATAAAATTACTTATACGAATGGATGCAAGAGCAATAGTAGCATACGGTTTGCCGAAGATACACAAAGCAGGAGAAACATTGCGACTGATAATCAGCAATAAGCATGGACCGACAAATAAATTAGCGAAATTTATCTGCCCCAAATTAAAGAAGGTAGATGACAGATTGTAGAATACAGTGAAGAACTCATACGAATTTTGTCAAAGAATCAAAGGCGCCAGTTTGGGATGAAGCGGACTTTTGGTGAGCTTTGATGTACAATTCATGTGCACGAACATCACAGGAGAAAAAGCACCCACCACACAACTGGAAAACTTGAAAAATTACATCCTATTAACAGAACAAATGCGTAGAGTCCGTAACTCGATTAATCAACCTAACAATAAGAACGACCTATTCCACATTCAACGGCCGCATTTGGTCTATCTATGGGGTCACCACTCTCGTCTCTGTTG